CTAAAATAAGTTAAACAAGCTAAAATGAGCAGAACGACCTAAAATAAGTTAAACAAGCTAAAATGAGCAGAACGACCTAAAATAAGTTAAACAAGCTAAAATGAGCAGAACGACCTAAAATAAGTTAAACAAGCTAAAATGAGCAGAACGACCTAAAATAAGTTAAACAAGCTAAAATGAGCAGAACGACCTAAAATAAGTTAAACAAGCTAAAATGAGCAGAACGACCTAAAATAAGCTAAACAAGCTAAACTGAGCAGAACTAGCTAAAATAAGTTAAACAAGCTAAACTGAGCAGAACTAGCTAAAATAAGTTAAACAAGCTAAACTGAGCAGAACTAGCTAAAATAAGTTAAACAAGCTAAACTGAGCAGAACTAGCTAAAATAAGCTAAACAAGCTAAACTGAGCAGAACTAGCTAAAATAAGCTTAACAAGCTAAACTGAGCAGAACTAGCTAAAATAATTTAAACAAGCTAAAATGAGCAGAACGACCTAAAATAAGCTAAACAAGCTAAACTAAGCAGAACTAGCTAAAATAAGCTAAAGTAGCTAAAATTTCTAGACAACAGAAAATAAGCTGAACAAGCTAAAATTAGCACAACTAGCTAAAATGAGAAAAAAAGCTAAAATGAGCACTGACTAATGACCTGAACAAGCTGAAATGAGAAGAACTAGCTAAAATGAACTGAACAAGCTAGAACAGCAGAACAGCAGAGAAAAATAAGCTAAAGAAGCTAAAATGAGCAGGACAGTCACAGTCTTGGCTCAGATTGTCGTTTCTTCAGCTCCATCATACATGAGTCATAAAAACTGGATAAATGGATTGAATTTGTTAGTTATTTTCAGTTTGTTAACATTTATTCCTAATTAGCAGCATGTTTTGTGTAAAACTGTCAGTTTGTGTTTGATTCTTCAGYCAGCAGGCCCGCTGCTTGACTTCCTGTTTCTGTTCACTGCTGTTCTTTAATCAAACAAAAAGCTCACTCACTTCCTGTCATCAAGCCTCTCCCTCAGCCGGCTGAGAAAACAGCAATCAGAGAGTTTAATCAGGGATTAAACTGACAGATTAGTCTTTTCTCAAAGTGAACCGACTGAGTCAGAGGASACTTTTCCTTTAGCTTTTTGTTCCTGTCAGAAAACAACAAAACACTCGAACAGTTTGTGTTTGTGGAGGACCGAACCTCGTCTTCTTTCTGAAAACCTGGAATACTTTGTTTTCAAGTGRATCAGACAGACCTGCAGAAATAATRAGATCCTTCAGGTTTGAGGAAAAATAAGTGTGACAAATAAAACATGAAGAGACAGAGAGCTGAGTCGTGTCTTGTTGAAGACGGCAGGAAAAAAATCATAAATGAAGTTTTCTGTGCAACAGCTGACCTTAAAAAACTGATAAATAAAGGGAAAAGGCTCATAAATTGTGAGCTGATCAAACGCATGAAGATAATTTTAATAAGCTTCTAAACGATGAATATTCATCCTCACTGACCGTCCTGAGGAGAAGCTTTAAGGTCACGATGGTCAGTGAATAAATATTAAGATGGCGGAAGATGTATGTAGCTGTGCAGTATCGCTGCAGGAAAATACATCCCATTTGGCTTTCAATTCAATTCAAAAACTAGGTGTTGTAACTCATTAAACTAAAGAGTTATTGTAGATGCTGATGGCTGTGGGCAGGAAAGATCTTCTGTAGCGTCTGTATTACAGCGAAGTTGAAGAAGCCTCCGACTGAAGACACTTTGTCTTTCTATGACAGTCTGATGAAGAGG